TAACAGTACATTTTTCTTCTCATTTTTAATGTTAAATTTTCCATACTGCCTCCATGCTTCTTCTTGGGGGTATGGCTAAGTCATAACTTCATAACTATATCATAACTTTCAAATTTACTACCCTACATCACTGCACCATCCTTTCCTTCTTACTGATCCTAGAGGATATAATACCAAGATGGCACTGTGTAATAAAAAGTCCTCCTTTTGATTTGTCTAACTCATGTTAAGACTACGAAAGCTAGAGCCTATATATTCTTTCTATAATCTTCTGAGCCTTTTGCCATAGCAAATTTTCAAGTGGATTTATATAATTTTAAAATTTAACTATTGTTCTTTTATTCCTGCATAATTCCAATTTGAATGTTTGAGTGTTTTCCTGCTGCCATTTTGTTGGTCTTCTAAAAATGCAAAAACAGTGTTATAACTTTTCCTACATACTTTGTTTATCTGCTACAAGTTGCTAGGAAAACAACAGTTTTAATGACTCATGCTGTATGTGGACTCTGTTTTTACAGTGCAGTACAAATGTGGGATCAGAAATTTTAAATATCACACTGTCTTGATGATTAATTCTTCCAGTCATCTTCACCATATCTGAAAATAGCTATTTGTTTCTTCATTCTTTTCTACTACTAAAACCAAAGGATAAAACATAATCAAGTTGTGTGTGCTTTCATGAGTTGAAAGTTAGAAATTGAGTGGGAATCAGATTGTATACATAGTTGCTGTCCAAGGCCTAATCTTCCTGTATCTGAGGGATTACAGCATGTGCCTTGTAAATTGCCACCATATACAGTATTTTTGTGAAAAACAGAAGAATATGGTGTGTAAAGAAATTTTAAAATGTCATACAAGCACTGTTGATCTTGTGGCACCATCATCCTTTTTTCAGGCTTCAGTCCTAGTCATATATAGCAATAGCAATAGCAATAGCAAGTACATTTCTATGCCTCTTATCAGTGCATTTAAACACTCCCTAAGTGATTTACAATGTGTAAGCCAATGCCTCCAACATACTGGGTACTCATTTTAGTGACTTACGGAAAGATGCAAAACTGAGTTGACCCTGGAGCCCTGCCCAAGATTGAACTCACAACCATGTGGCTCTGAGAGGCTGCAGTACCGGCATTTAAACACTGCACCCACTGCACCCACTACTATATATGAGCTACAAATATGAGGCACTACAGTGTTGAGAAGAAACTCCCCTGTTAGCACACCCTGCCTTCACATTTTTCATATCTAGAGCCAGGCATTTTTAAGAGGTCACATGGGAAAGGAATGAGGACCCAAAGATATGTGGAGGGCCTAGGCAGCATCAAGAAAAAGATTAAATGAGTGTGTTGGAACAATGTTCCTTTAAACCAGGGATAGGCAACCTAAGGCCCAGGGGCCGGATGCGGCC